TCTCAGGAATGGGGAAATAGGCATAGCAACCCCCATAGCTCTTTGAAACTTGTTTATTTCGTCATTTCGGGGGGAAGAATTTAGCCAAAAACTTTCACAATATTAAATTCTTAATTTTGCGAAAATACGAAATTGAACAACCCTTAGTTCTCGTTGTGTTGTCTTTTCACCTCGAATTTCATCTGTTATACATGTCCTCAGTGTAGACTATTTATTTACCAAAACACCCACCACCCAAAGTCCTTGTGATTGTTAAATATAAAAGAAATGGCAAAAATAATGTCTTAGTACTTCCCCTAGCACCTTCATCTGTTTAGATCTTCGTAAAGGGAATGTGTGTGTGTGTATATATACATTTCGACAGCAATTATGAAATCAGTACAACACATTTGCCCGGTTTCGAAAACTATTTTTACATATTTCCGAAAATATCAAGAAAGGAAAAGTAGTCAAAATCATTATTTCGAGGAAGGCTGTAACGTCGGCCGAGTGTTCGAATATATACCTGACGGTGTGTACAGTTTGGTTGCCGGGATCATACTGCTTACTGCTAGAGTAATAATCATCTGAATCTTTCTTTTTTTACACTGTTCCCGACTATAACCTCACTTTTACGGAGACAATATAAATATCAATAAACATTACTTCAAACTATATAGATAGAAGCGCAGTGTAAATAATATAGTTCAGTGTAATATGGACTGTCGACATTGTTCACTATGTACGAAAATTCTAAAAATACATTGTTCATACCCTGGACGTGTTAACATCTTACAAGTAATACAGTCCATACCATGGACGTGTAAACATCTAAAAGGTAATACAGCCCATACCCTGGACGTGTAACAGCTATAGTGACAGCTAGTAAGTGGTATAATTCATTCCCTGGACGTGTAACAGCTATAGTGACAGCTAGTAAGTGGTATAATTCATTCCCTGGACGTGTTAACATCTAATAATTATTTCAGACATAACTCTGGAAGCGTACACATCTAATGAGCCCATGCACTGGCACTTTAAGGAAACGTGTTATTCCTTTTTCATTTTAAGATTGGCGACCTCCTAATAGTCTATTTATTCCGAATTAAAGCAAATGTCTGTCATATGCATACTGCTTGCTATTTCAATATTGATTCCATTTGGAAAAAATGAAAATGTCGAATCTTTGCTGTTGATGCATAGTGTGAAGTGTTTTCTTTAGGACAACAAAGAATCTGACATTTTTAATGAATACAGCTGAGAGCCCCCATTTATTTTACATGTATCGTAAATACTTGAGTTTGTTTCCCTTGTAACTACTGATGTTATCTGAATGGAAATGGCATCGATTTTGCGTATCACCAATATACTTTAAGTATTTCATTTCTTGACATTTGGAGAGAAAAAATGTACTTACCAAGATCCAAGGAAAGAACAGGAGACGCCAGTATCCACTGATGATTTTCACAGGGCAAGTTTACTGTATGGATTCTTATAGTTTTCGTGTAGCTTTTTATATGATGCAAAGGTTGGATTTATTCACGCTAAAATTTTCATTGACGGATTTAACCAATCGGAAAATATCACACCAATTTCAACCGTACCAGACATGCGCATTGATAAACGTCGTTGTGAATAGTTTCTGTGTAAGGCAGGATTGCCAAAGTTTTGGTTTCTGTACAATTTTTTTAAAACATTCTTTTCATTTGTCAAAAGATACACATTGTTTATTTCGTATCTTTTACGTCATATCCTTCTTGGGTCATAAATAAATATAGATGGGGTATCTTAACTCTCGAGAGGGGTAGGGGTTGGGGATTGGGAAGATCCATAGTTGCCAATCATGTAAGAATCACCATACTCGCGACCTGGAGATCTTCCACCCCATTCCACGTACCCAACCCACTTTAACCCACCCAAGGGGATGGGATGAAATATCGAATAATTTCACGCAACCAATTTATTAATTGATTACCCATGACCTTTATTAGTAACGTCGTCGGCAGGTTTCAGTGTAGTGCTTTCCGAAAATCGAGCCAGTCTATCAATACCTTAGGCCGTGACCTTCTCACGATAGACCGTTATCTATTTGTGTACTTGTCCAGTAGTTGTGTTACTGACACATTGTACTGTGGTTACAATATCTACGTGTGTACTTGTCCAATAGTTGATTTAAACATATTTTATTGCAAATAAATATTTACAAAAGAATTGGACACAAGTTTTACCAACTTATCAAAGTCCTTTTCTTCAAATACATGAGTATAAACAATAACTTGATAAGGTAATTTACGCAATATACATTAATTATGTTTTTATATGGAAATGGAAAATAGAGACGAAGAAAAGAAGGAGAGCGAAACGAAGTAAAGGATAGTAACACAGATAGAGTAGATGAAAAATAGAGTGGAAGAAAAGACGGATAGAGTAATGAAGTAAATGATAGTAACACAGGTAGAGTCGGAGAAAAAAAAGAGTGATAGAGAGAGAAAGATGATCACATTCAGTCAAACCTGTTGCATTTGCTGATATAATTTTGGACAGATTTTGCAATTGAGGTATTTACATTAATGCTGAATTTAGGATCGCCATATAGGAGCAAGTCTAAAGTTAAATCATCACGAACAGGTTGAAGCTCTCTTATTAATAGATTACGATGCTGGGTGTATAAGGGACAGACACAAAGGAAGTGATAAGAGTCTTCACATGGATTACCGCATGCACATTCAGCTGTATTTGATAAATTTGCTCTAAATAGGTCATAGTTAAGGGAGCTCGCACGATTTCTCAAACGGCAATGAAGTATATTTGATTTACGGGAACCCCATACCAGAAAGCATTTATTTTGTGGTTTACCTTTTGATTTTATATTTGATTTAAATGAACTGAGAGAAGCCGAATTCCTTATAGATATATCTAGGTCATTCCACATTTTTGTAGTTGATGGGAAAAAAGAATTGCGCATTGTTTCAAGCCTAAAGTTTGGTTGTCTTAAATGTTGGGAATTTCTTAGGTTATAACGAGAAATATCCCCAATGCTATCTGGTAAGGTGTCACACAAATAATTAGGAGCTGTACCGTTTTTAATTGTAAAGAATAGGGACAATTTTCTGTTTTTCCTTCTATTACTTAGTGGAACCCAGCCAATTTCATTAAATATATGTTCAATTTTTGTGTAAATAGGTAGTCCTGTAACAATTCGTGCAGCATCTATCTGAATATTTTCAAGTTTTGATGAATTTGTCATTCCACAATTGTCCCAGACTTCACATGCATATTCTAATAATGGTCGAATGTACGTTAAATATAGTTTTTCAAGGTTATTTCTACTGAGTAACCATTTCATTTTACGAAGGGTTGCTATATATTTAGCCACTTTTTTGATAAGTTCGTCTACATGTTTATTCCATTTACCGTCGCTACTTAGTATAACTCCAAGGTGTTTGTGGCTATCTGTTAAAAGGATAGAAGTATCGTTAAAAATAAATTGGGGTTGAAAGGGTAGATTTGTATTAGAAACAATCATGATTTCGGTTTTTTTAGGATTGAAAGACATCAGCCAATTTTTAGACCATTTCTCTAGAGTTTTTAGGTCTTTATTTACTTCACTTACAATATTTTCTAGGTTTGGTGATGAGTATGAAAGCGACGTATCGTCAGCAAAAAGACGAGATAATGAGGAGAGTTCGGTTGAAATGTCGTTAATATAAATCAAGAAGAATAAAGGGCCTAACACTGAACCTTGGGGAACACCGGCGTTTATATTTCTTACAGAAGAATGGGAATCGTGAATAAAGACGGATTGCTTACGCTCAAAAAGATAGTTTGTTATCCAATTAAGAAGACTGCCTGAAATACCATGTTGTTGAAGTTTGTATAAAAGCCCTCTATGCCAAACTCGATCGAAGGCCTTTGAAAAATCACAAAAAGTAAAAGCTATATGTTCATAGTTTTCTAATGCTAACATCATAGAATGGTACATTTCAATGAGTTGATGCGTACAAGAATGATTGGGTAAGAATCCAGACTGAAGTTTGTAAATAAGATAATTAGAGTTAAAAAAGTTGTAAATATGTTTATAGACTACACGTTCAAAATTTTTTCCAACACAGCTTAATAATGATATTGGTCTATAATTCGAAGCATTATGAGCGTCGCCAGACTTAAAGATCGGCATGACGTTTGCTAATTTCCATTTATCGGGATATATACCATTGTTTAAGGAGTGATTAAAAATGAGGGAAAGGGGAATGGCAATTTCATTTGCTACAAGTTTTAACATTCGATGACTGATTCCGTCAGGCCCTGTTGCCTTATTTACATCTAGTATGTTAATAATATCAACTATTTCAGAAGGTATAATATGAATTTCGGACAAAAGAGAGTCTGTTCGTTTTTCTAAAAGTCCAGTAGTTGTGTTACTGACACATTGTAACGTGGTTACAATATCTATTTGTGTACTAGTCCAGTAGTTGTGTTACGGACACATTGTAACGTGCACGTGGTTACAATACCTACGTGTTTATTAGTCCAGTAGTTGTGTTACGGACACATTGTAACGTGGTTACATTATCCACTTGTGTACGTGTCCAGTAGTTGTTACCGACACATTGCAACGTGGTTACAATATCTACGTGTGTACTAGTCCAGTAGTTGTGTTACGGACACATTGTAACGTGCACGTGGTTACAATATCTACGTGTTTATTAGTCCAGTAGTTGTGTTACGGACACATTGTAACGTGGTTACAATATCCACTTGTGTACTAGTTCAGTAGTTGTGTTACGGACACATTGTCACGTGGCTACAATATCTATGTGTGTACTAGTCCAGTAGTTGTATTACGGACACATTGTAACGTGGTTACAATATCTATTTGTGTACTAGTTCAGTAGTTGTATTACGGACACATTGTAACGTGGTTACATTATCCACTTGTGTACTAGTTCAGTAGTTGTGTTACGGACACATTTTAACGTGGTTACAGTAACAATAAATATACAATAAGAAGATACAATATATTGCTGGCTGGAAAATGTATTTGTGGTTACTATCGATCACGTGTTCACCTTACCGTCAATCACGGCGCCCCTGATGTGAAACCCTCAAACTGAAAATCGAAATGAAAAGCAGCTATTTTCAAAATTGCTATACATAGTTCTTTGTTACAGCGAAATGTTTTCCGTATACCCAGCTGTGGACGGGTTTAGGACAGCTGTTTTGACTCCCACTAGGGGATGGGAGAAGATGTCAGTGCTATACACTAAATAAAAGCAATGTTTGGTTTGGGTGGAGCAGTCATTTTCTTGATTTTCTCGACGAACGCTGCCACTTTTCGCGAACACTCTTTTTCTTCCAAACGCTGAAACGATAAATAAAGACTTCATTAAATGAAAGTTAAAGTTGCGTATATATTTCTTGAGTTGAGTAGGGTTTTACGCTTTCCAATCTTATGAGCTCCATTTCACTTGTTAGAGTTGCGGTTAGGACTTTGCAAAACAAGTTAGGAAGGTGTTTGCCTAATCATATCCTCCCCAACAACTCACATAATCTAACTACACACCAATGGAAAGCATAACGATTGACATATAAATGCGTTACCATGTTAAAACAATATTCAGTAAATACTATCATTATGACATGAACGGTATTTAAAAGACCATCATCATACTAAGTTAAAGGTCACCTGTTTGAAGTCTGTCTTTCCGGGAAAAGAAACAAAGTAAAGTTACAATAAAGTGTATGCTCAAACATGGTTAGAGATAGAATTGTTGCAATACATTCTGTTAACCTCTAAATAGCATACCATTGGAGAGCTAATAAATTGTTCATTGCAATGATATAATATTTTACACTATTATACCAACCGCATCGGCTTTGAGGAAATCAATTCTGGACAGATGGTCTCTGGAACAGGAGGACGGTCGCGCCAACAGTGCGCTCTGGGCTCTCTTTTCAAGTGTGTCAATTGTTCTCCCACTCACGGCGCTCTTGGCATTTCTTAGTTTCACTTGTTCTCTCAAACTCTGCTGTTTACTTATCGAAGTTTCGGGAGTGCTCTTTGTGGCCCTAAATAACAAAGAAGTATTTGTAGACGGACTCTTTGTCCTGAATACCACATGTGATGAGTTCTTAGTGCGTATGTTTGTATCTGGTTCTTCAACGTCCTTGCGAGGAACTGGAGTTTTCGATAGTCTTATGGGAAAATCACGACCTGCCTGTGAAGAAGTACTTTGTTTCCTACGTAAAGTCACAGCTGAAAATGCACGCTGTTTGAGGAACGCTGTTGACAAGCCTGTAACAGTCTCGTGCATCTCCCCGCGCGTAGAGCTGTTCCATCGGTTGAGAACCGTTTTACTCATATCCTTCCTCTTCTGTGTCAATGCGGCATTGTCATGTTTGATTTTGCACACACATGCCACACAGTTGCCATGGGTACGGGTGTTAAATGTTCTTTTATGGAGATCAGATTTCGAGCTCTTTGATTTTCGTAAAGAGTCTCGGACATCAAATGTTGAAGATCCAGGAGGTATTGCAAATCTATCGTTAGGTCGAGAAGATTCGCGAGGTTCCAAAAGCTGTTTGAGGGATACTTTGTCGCCGCGAGCATGCGCCCTTAGAAACGCATAAACTTTACCTTTGACGCTGCCGGAATTTTCATAAAGGTCGATGTTGTTTTTCTCAAGATCCTCGTTTATTTCCTTAATGATGTTTTCAAGATTTTTTATTTCGTTTTCATAATCAATATTGAGAGACGGTTCATGCGTCTCAGTCTTTTCGATAGTGATTCTCGATTCCCCTTGGACATATTTATCCCTCATTGTCGGTGGTGTGCCAGAATTCTCTGGAGACGGGATAACATTGCCGGGTATATTTTTAATTGAAATTTCCGAAACATTCGTAAATATTTTGTTATCATGCAAATTGCTTTGTGGGGGACTTAATGGCCTTCCTATTTCCCTGTCGTCTCCTTCAAACTTTGACTCAAACCAGCTTTGTGATGGAGTATATTCAGAAAACAGGTCTTGATCGGGTACAAGAGACAACTTTGGTGTTCCATTTGAATGATAACGGAAGCCTGGAGGTGGGAGTTTTACATCTCTCAGGTCGGAGGCAGAGCTAAAATCTGTCACATGTTTAGAAAAAGTGTACCTTGAACCCAGTGTATGTAACAATACTCTCTGATTTCTTCTATTCTCTTCAATAGCCTTGAATTTTTTCTTGTCTATTTCATCCCATTCTTGTATTAGTTTTGAAAGTTCCACAGCATTTTGCGGACATTCAACTAATTTGGCATCAAAAAAAATTGGCCCAAGTTTCTTTTTTGCATCCTGCAGAGCCTGCGACGGTGCTAGGAAGTCGACATTGGCCCTTTTCGGTAGGACGATACTCATTGCATAATCCACCCCCTCATTGATCCGTCGGTTATTAAGCGCCGCCATTTTTACGCGAAATTTATGACGTCATGGAAAGTCGCGACAAAATTAGCTTATTGTTACGTCACCATTCTAGGGGTGTTTTGCCATGAAATTGGAACACTGACTACTTTAGATATTTCTTACTCCAACACGTACAGGATAGGAGAATTGAATTAAGTCTAATGGGGAGGAAGGGTAATTACATATAATAAGACAGTCAATCTGACTTTTTTAATCTTACAACCGTGACAACCAAATAGTATTCCGAAGAAAGAGACATCTAAAACAATTGTGTCGTACAACTCAGTGTTCAGACTGCCATCTAACGCCGTTGACGTTTATATTGATGTTTACAGTCGAAAAATAATTATAACAGGGTGCTACTCATTCATGCATATCGCAAAAAACAATTCAGTTATATTATTCAAATTCTGACGCATGTAACATAGATGATGTCGGCTGCTGTGTCATGTCACGGACTTAATTATAAGATAGATACTCTAATCTAATTCCGCGATCGTGTACATCACAATCTGTTCGTCGAGTTGTATAATTGTATACTTGTATTTCATTTCAGCCTGTGTATGTTTCGTTTGAAGAATGTAGAGTATGAGTTTTCGAAAAACAATCTTAGGCGAAAATATTTTATTTTTCGTCACGTCAGGTTTTGGTTTCCATAAATAGTGACAGTCCCATCAGCAAAGCTTCTTTCCTGGAACAAGCACACATGTAACCTGCAAGCAGACCAATTTCACCAGCACCTTTCTGTAGATGGTCTACAAAACATGTCCGGTTGCTGTAAAGGTTAACTAGCTGTTGCTACACGATACATTCTGATTAACACTGAATATGAATCCGTTTATCGGCGTCATCGTACCCCGGCAAAACATTATTCATCAAGTGGAATAGATTCAGCGAAAGGGAAGTAGTGCAGTTTCACCAGTCTGCTGTTAAAAGTTTGACTTGAACAGTCAATGCACCTAGAGCCAGACTTCTGTCTCAGTAGCTGATTCTGTGGTTCGAAAAAACCTGACAAGCTCCTTTTAAAACAATTTTGATGAGGCGTGTCATACGTATTTTAAAAGCAGAAAGACGTTCTTTTTTTGTGTTCGGACTACTAATTACAGCGAAACGAGTGTCCATGGCATCATCGACATCAGACCGTAAATACACCTGATCAGCAACCACCATATAGAACAAAAACATACCAACATTCAGTTTGTTTTCATCCGCAGCACAAACTTGGTATGATGGCTGATTTTGCCACCGTAACTATTAGCTTAAACGCCTATCAGGCACGTTGTACACTTAGTGGACTTAACGCTGGTAACACATCCGCTTTTCTATCTGACAGCCATCCTCCAGTATTTTATTTTGATAATTGTCAGTTATCAAGAATAGTTTTTAATAACAGCCACAGGGACCTGAGCATTGCAGCATTATAATTACTTACACCACGTACAGAATTAGATTATTATCTAAGGCCCTGTTTACATCTAATCATTAGGGGTGTCATTTATACCGAAAGTCGATCTAAAACCCCAAAACATGTAATATGACTCTGAACACCAAGTAGTTTAGGTCCAAACATGGTTCGCAATGATGAAGACTACTGTACATATGATAAAGGGGGGATAATTCCTTTTAAAAGTACATAATGCGCACGGTACGAAACCAGTCGCTTTCGTTTAGTTGGTTCAACCATTTCAAATAGTTCCACATAATAAAGAAATGGATCATGGACCTCCTAATGTTATACGGCCTCTTAAAAAATTACCCCCCCCCC